ATGTGGTTTTTCATTTGCTGCAGCTCATTGGACCCCGATTGGAGACATTGCTGACCGTTTCTCAGGACCACTCCGTGTGGTGTATTGATTCGGATGCATTGGAGCATTCGGTATGCCAAAGGAACATTGCAGGTTTCGTTGCAAGTTCTCTTTTGAAGCGATTGCGATTCGCTTGCCAAGCAAAAGGATTGAGCCGAGCCTCTGAGTGCATTGTCCGCTGTGAAGCTGATTGTAGTTGATTGCAGTTGAGATTTTTTTCGATATACTCCGTTGATTGGTTGATTGAATATTTGTTTTCGAACTCATTTGAATTGTGACTGGAGAACAGCAGAGACAACCATGTCTCTACTGAGGGACTGTGTTAGAATATAAGGTCACAATTGGCATGCTTCCAGAGAAGCATTGACGCAGTGACATGCTCAACATGAGCATTGACTCGATGCTTTGGCTCAAGGCGGCACAAACAAGATTGCTGAGTGAGTGATTGCATCAAGTGACTTTGCTGTGCATCTTGTGGATTTTGGATTGTGTGATCAAGCCAGTCTGTGAACATTGATCGTGTAAAATTTCATTAAAGGGGGGCTTAAAGGGGGGCTTAAGCCCCCCTTTGCCCAAAGGGGGGGGGCCCATTCTCCTCATTACTTGCATGACCCAGAGAGAGAGCAGCTTTATTCTGTTGAACAGCCACTAGTTTCGGCAATGGGCTGGTTCTTACATCACAGCTCCGTCGGCACAACCCCATGTTCGAAGAACAGTGGAGGCCCCATGATTTCTGGTTTGAGAAGGCTCAGTACCGCTGCGCATGATGGCTGTGGGTGATTGCTCGGCTGCTTTTTGGTGTGAAATCTGGTTGTTTTGTCTGGACTGGATGTATTGGCTTTTTTGCAGATGGCAAATGGAAGATTTGTGGCTGCCAAGTTCTGCGCAAAGCGTTTGCGCTTTTAGCGTCTCCGTATTTCATCGGAACAGATAGTAGCACGCAGAGCGAAGACTGAGAGCAAGGTGGCGTGGCTCTGCCAGTGGGTGCTGGGAGGCTGCAGGAAGGTTGCGTGCAGGGCTGCGTCATGAAGAGCGTGTTGTGTTTGTGTGTCTGGGGAGCTCATGTGCCTCAGGGGCTAGCTGGTCGCATTTGCCTTTGTCGGTTTGCGTATTGCTTGAATTCATCAAGAGGGATGTGGAGCGCGTGCCGATGACTATTGCCCCGACCTTTGCTGGAGCACGTGCAAGACATTTTCGGACCTGGCGCGGTGTCGCGTCAGCGCACAGCAACAGCGGTCATTGCCGGCTTGACGGACAACGCTGGCAACAGATTCGTGGTGGACAAAATGATGACGACGGCCTTTCCTTTGTCGGTCATCTTGATGGAGCTGGCAGTACAGTTCGAAGAGCTAGGGTCGGTTCAGTCATTGTCTTGTGCCGCGAGAGCAGAATGTCCCGCGGACGCGCTGACCAACGAGGACTTCAATGGTTTCGATCCGCGCAAGCGGGTCGTGTTGACATCGCAGAGCTTGGCTTCAAGATTTTGCCCAAGTTGATGGACGCAGCGATGCATCTCGATGGGTCAGCACTGTGTAGAATCAGCCGGGCAAGCCAAGTCTTGCAAGGCGTCTTTGCGCCAGAGTGACCCTTGGGTGTGCTGCCTTGCTAGGTGCAGGGCGGCTGCGCGAGGTTTCTTCCTTCGGCTTCCTCGTGCTGGGGTTGAGGGTGAGGTAGGTTGCGGCGTGTGCTCTGTGGTCTCCTGCAGCGCCGCATCTTTGCAGCTCAGGTTGCCTGCGAAGAAAGGAGTCAGTGGTTTGCCTGCAGCTTGCAAGTCTAGGAGACTTGTGAGGAATTTAAACAGGAAGGAATCCGCCACCCCAACCCTCGCCTGAAAGTCCTTCGGTTGGGAAGTTGGTTTCTTTCAGGCTTGGGTAGGCTGGACGGACTCGGCTGCGCATTCCACAGCAAAAAAGGACCACAGCAAAAAAAGGATGCGCCTGCCATTTGGCAAGGGAAAGGGTTTTATGGCGTGTGAAGGGTAGGTGGGTGGGTCTTTTGTGACAGTGTAACTTCAGAGACGCGATTGGTCTCAACTTGTTATGCGCCTGAGTGACGCATTTGGCGCAACGGATCCACTCCGGTCACTATTTGCATGAAAATGCCATCGGTGATGAGGATCCTGTTTCACCCAGTGTTTCAAGTCGCCCTCCGGTTTTAGTTTCGCGTTGGTTGTCTTGCGGTTTGGGGTTGGTGTGTTGTGGCTTTGGTTGCTTGTTTGCTGGTTGTTGTGTTGCCGGGCTGTTTCACTTCGCAATCCGAGACCTGCCTACTGGGCTGCTGACGCAGTAAAGAGGCGCAAACTCAAAAACAAAGGAAATGACCGAAAAACAAAATGTGACATCTCGAAAAGTGCTGCAAGAGAATTTCTTGTTGAAACGACAATCTTTTTGACCGATTTCACAATGGAGAAACAAAAACTTAGAGAAGTTTGAAGAGATGGAATTCAACACCAAATTTCCACCTTGATGTGAAACACAACTGGACAAACTTTAAAAGCAGAAAGAGAAAATGAGAGGTTTTCCTTGTGTTTTTAAGAAGGACTCGCAACTTTCAAAGAGAAAGAATCACACTGAAGAAAAAATCCTCTGGGGGCGGTTGCCTTTCAGGAAATGGGTTTCTTTGGAGTCAACTCCATCCCCCGAAGGTTACCGCCCAAGATGTCACGCCCGGCAAAATCAAATTTACTGCCAAAACAAAAGTTCTTAATTTCGTGCAATTTCAAAAAATGTTTGAAATTTTCGCAAACAAGACTTCATCAGTTTGAATCTGGTAACATACTCTGGTGTTTCGCTCGCTGCGCTCGCACAGATCAACATTTTGCTAAAATAAAACACTTTGCGGGCTTCAAACGGTTCGGTTTGGGCGTCGCGCGCAACATTGACGTGTCAGCATTGCAGTCGTCTCGTCTGCAGTTGATCTCTCTCCAGACGGCACTGTCAGAGCCTTTCAAAAAACAGTTTCTCAAGCATTTCAAGAGATTCTGAGGAGCCGTGCTTTCCTTGCTTTCAGCATCCAAATGTAGGCATCAAGGTCGTGCCAGGACAGGGGGTTTGGGAGTTTTTATTCAGGGGGGCCATTTGGCTACAGAAGCAGCAACAACCCTCCGGCCCCTCACAGTTGCAGCCGAAACCAGCAATAGCAAGGGTGACAAACCGGGCTTCGAACACTTACAGTGTCGTTGCAGGCGCGATGCCTGTGGACAAACATGGAACAAAAAACTCCCAAAAATTGGAAATATCTCCAAAACTGGAGCTGCGTATTGCCAGCGAAACAGATGGGTCCTTCTGTAGGACACAAAGCATAGGGCAGCGTATAGGCTCAGATTTATGAAAATGCAGTTTTGACCAGACTTCGCATGGTTTTTCAATGAATTTTCCAAGATTTTTTCAAAGAATTTGCTTCAATAAAAATAAGCTCTGTATCTTCTTTTGCACGTCAAAAAGACAGCTCGATCTTATTCATTTCTTGTGCTGATTTTGTTTGTTCTCGCGTTAAAATGCCGCGTCAATGTTCGAGTATTGCGAACAAATTCGTGCAAACTCGTGCTATTTTAGCGGTCAAACCAGTGTTCATATTGCAAAATTTCATTGTCGAGTCAACTTCGGGCTGATTATGTGCCACTTTTCGTGCCTACTCGAGTCAATTTCGCGTTACCTCGTGCATTGCGATAGTTCGACAGCAGCTATGTCTCAAGTATCCCTCACACCCCCGCTTCGAGCAAAATGACCAGCTGTTTCAAAACCCGTTCATTTTTGCAAGTCGATGGTCTAAAATGAAGAGTTTTCAAGAGGTCACAACGGGTCACTACGGGTATTGACGGGTTCATTTTACAAGTGATGAGAAACTCATCTTCCGGAAATGAAAAAGAGCTCATGGGTTGTTCACCTTCCAAAGTTGCATTTCTGCAACTAGTTAGTTTCATTTCCGCTCATCATTTTGCTGCAGGAACGTATCCACTTGCAGTTAACCAGCCAAGTGAACGCCGGCATGTAAAGCGGGAGACCAAATTTCGTCGGCCGTGCATGCCTGCAAGCAACAGAAACATACAAGAACCAACACACAGTAGAGATGAATCAGGAGTCATAACATGGTTTCAATACAACGCATAACCCACATTTCATCTACTTTCCCTTGGCCCCAAACCCTGAACTCTTAACCGCGTTTTCGCTGAAACCAGCTTTTGCGTGTGCCCCAAACCCAGAAAAACACAACCCATAGGTTCGCCCCTGTTTTGCTGAATTCATCGCTTGGAGGCCGCACACGCGACGCAACCAGATGGAGCTTCATTACTAGATTTACAAAAATTGCTGCGCATATTTGCATCCGTACATCATTGTCACCTGTTCTTACGTGCAATTACACATTACGATACGCTGTTGCATGGCGACGATGCTTCCAGGTTTCATCACTCGCACTTTCTACCCTTATTCAACTATGGCTCGAACGAAGATCCTAAAACTTTCCGTGCAATTTCATCTCATCTGGGAGAACTGTCCCGATCTGCATTTCTCATGGACTGTTGCTGATTCAGGACTCTGGCGTGTCAGCAGGGCGGCATCGCATCGCAGGGTACTCTCGCGCAGGAGTTTTGAGCAAACTACCGAGGTTGCTCTTTGATGAAACAAGATGTTCGCGGAAGGCAGGTGAGGAGAGGGCACGTAGCTTGGCGCCCAAGGCCGCTTTCATCATGTTGCATCCTTGAGTCATTTGCACATGTTGCGTGTCCCGATGTAGTTGCTATGTTCCAGTGTCAAAAGATGCTGTGCATACACGTTCCAGTGTCGTCCACCTGGTGCTCAGAAATGGGTCACTTCCATGGTGTGTCAGTCAGTCTTAGTGAAGTTGTGTCTACTCAAGTAGCGGCACTGAGAACCGCGGCAACAGATGAAGCTCTTTATTGCGTATCACATTCTCGCATTCTCGACATTCCTTGCCTCCAACACCTTGCCTTCTGTGCAGCCATGGCAATCATCCCTTTGCTCTGCTGGATCATATGGCAACAAGCTGATGCTCAGCTGCATCAGTGGACGGTCCAACGTGGTGGATCAGGATGGGACATAGCTCAATGCCTCCTTGTGGACTCGTCCGGAAACATCGTGGTGGGTGGAAAAACATCGAGCTCCTTGGATGGAAACAGCAATGCGGGTGGAGAAGACATCTTTTTGATGAAGTTCAACGATGAAGGCACTCACCAATGGACCGTTCAACACGGTGGCTCAGACGCTGATGGTGCTCATGCCCTCCAACTGGACTTGTCCGGAAACATCGTGGTGGCCGGATTTACAAAGAGCTCCTTGGATGGAAACAGCAACGCGGGTGGCTTTGACTTCTTTCTGATGAAGTTCACCGGCGAAGGCATTCGCCAATGGACGGTTCAACATGGTGGATCACATGACGATGCAGTTTATGCCCTCCAGCTGGACGGGTCCGGAAATATCGTGGTGGCCGGAAGAACGATGAGCTCTTTGGATGGAAACACCAATGCGGGCGGCCTCGACATCTTTCTGATGAAGCTCACCGGTGAAGGCAATGTCCAGTGGACGGTTCAACGAGGTGGCGCAGGCTCTGATGAAGTTTTTGCCCTCCAGCTCGACTGGTTCGACAATGCCGTGGTGGCCGGAACAACATCGAGCTCCTTGGATGGAAACACCAATGCGGGCACATTCGACATCTTTCTGATGAAGTTCAACGATGAAGGCAGTCACCAGTGGACGGTTCAACACGGTGGATCACTTGACGATGGTGCCCGTGCCCTCCAATTGGACTGGTCCGGACATATCGTGGTGGCCGGATTTACAAGGAGCTCCTTGGATGGAAACAGCAATGCGGGCGGCCTTGACATGTTTCTGATGAAGTTCACCGGTGAAGGCAATGTCCAGTGGACGGTTCAACGCGGTGGCTCAGCATATGATGATGCTTTTGCCCTCCAGCTCGACTGGTTCGGAAATGCCGTGGTGACCGGCTACACGGAGAGCTCCTTGGATGGAAACAGCAATGCGGGCGGACAAGACATCTTTCTGATGAAGTTCAATAGCGAAGGCCTTCATGAGTGGACGGTTCAACGCGGTGGATCAAATCATGATTTTCCTTGGGCCCTCCAACTGGACTCGTCCGAAAATGCCATCGTGGCCGGACGTACACAGAGCTCTTTGGATGGAAACATTCATTCGGGCCACCATGACATGTTTTTGATGAAATTCAACATCCCCACCACCACCACCACCGTCACCGCCACCATCACCACCGCCACCACCATCACCGCCACCATCACCACCATCGCCGCCACCATCACCACCACCACCCCCATCACCACCACCATCACCACCATCACCACCATCACCACCACCGTCACCACCGTCACCACCGTCACCACCGTCACCACCGTCACCACTGCCACCGCCACCGCCACCGCCACCGCGATCGCAACCACCGACGGCGCCAGCGCCAGCGCCAGCACCACGGGTGCTAGCACCGCCATCCCCGCCACCAACGCAACATTGGGATGCGATGCTCCCGTTTGGGCGAATCCCCCGCTTTTGGTAAACTTTGATCCTGCGAATGGGGCCTTCGGGGTTCTGCCTGGATCGGACTTCGTGTTCACCTTCGACAAGGGGATAGCGATTGCTCAGGGCAACTGGAGCATCACACTTCTTGAGACTTTGGGGAATTCCGCTGGGCCTGATGTGCCTTTAAGGGTGATTGCGGATATTGCCCTGGACTCAGCAAGAGTGAAGAGTGTGGGGAAAGTCTTAACCGTCCAGCTGGCTCCGTTCACCAGCAAGGGTTCCACATATTCGCTGGAAATACCGGCCTGTGCCATTATTGACACCGCTGGATACTCATTTCCGGGCTTGCTCGAAGGAACTTTGTGGTTTCACACCGCAGTGGACGTATTCATCGTGCCTATCTCTGGGTCCTTTGATGTCAGCGTGGGATCTCCAGAAGGATTTGTCCAGGAGCGTGCCGACGTGCAAACATCTGAACTAAGAGCTTAATTGTAAACGCTTGAACGCGCCGCCTCGGCAGCCGGGCCGGTCCACGGACAGGAAAGGAGGAAAGACTGGGAAAGGCTTCAAAAAAGGGGAGGGGGTCCCAGGAAGGTCCCCGCAGTCCTAGGGGGGGTTCAGGGCGGTCTGGGGGTTCTCAGGAGGGGTCCCAAAGGGGGGGGGGTGCCATATAGGGGGGGGGTTCGTCACAAAGTTTGGCACGGGAGAAGGGTTGGGTTAGGGGGAAGGAGACCGGATCCCGTGTCTGCTTGTTCCAAACGCGTCTCGGCAGCAAGCCGAGGCGAATTAGGCCTTAAACTTCAAACGCTCTAGATTCTCAACTTCTCAGACCTCATCCTGTGCCGTGAGCTGTTGCAGGAGCCGGCTTTACCAAAAATCCTGGCAGATGCGCTGGGCGGCTTGTGGGGCTGGGCGGTCGTGCACGTGAACCTCACCTTGGCACCCGTGGCAGGACGAAGGCTGGCATCCCTTGTCCAGGTGGACTTTCTTGCCGAAAAGGCCTTGGGATCCGCAGAAGATGCTGCGCAGCACGCGTCGGACTTTGCCAGCAGTCTCTCTTCCGTGGGCCGCATGGCTTACGTACTCACGTCCAACCCGAAGAGCGGGTTTCACGTCGGTGCATGGACTGTGCGGGTGTCTGAGTCCTGTACGGTTTTTTGCTGCCAGAGTCACGCCTAGAACTTTCGATGCAGCTGAGGCTCGACCGAACTCATGGACCGCATGAACGAAGCCATCGCAGCAGGGCTTTCGTCCAGGTGGACGGACTTCGCCATTACTGCTGTGAGCACCTTTGTTGCCGAAGCCTCTCCAACTGCGCCGCTTGGCGCCACCCCGAGTACATCCTCATCAGCCTCGCAAGTCTCCCAGAGGGCCCCGGATGCGGCAGGCGGCAAGGGGGTAGTAAAACATAGCAAAACGCAACTCTGACGGTTCGACCCCCAAAGGCGTCTCGCTAGCCCAGTGGGTTTGCGTCGGGAGGGCTAGGCCGGCGTGCCACATGTGCCAGAACACAAACACTTGACCTGTAAGTCAAGAGAGCCAGTGGTACTCTCAACAGGCGGTGCGAGCGGCGTGAGCGGTGTGTTGGTGGCCATGGCTGTGGTGGCCTCACTTCTGGCGTGCGGACTAGCGTTTGTTGCCTGGTGGTGCTGCTGGCAAAGGAGTGCGAGCCAGGTGGGACATGCGTAAGCCCGATCCTGCAAGTTATCATCCCTAGCCCCAGAGATAAACTTTCTGGCAGTTGTGTTCGATGCCCAGCAGCAGAACCAGATAAGAAGTTTGGCTACAATCTCAAGATCGCATCAAGTATGACCACATGTAACCGCTCACCCTCCAAGGGAAGTGCCTCCTTTAGCTGACGTCGGACGTTATGCAGCCTTTTTGGAATTTCTTGTAGCTTGTGTCCCCAGCTTTCTGCCTGAACTGACCACTCTCCACCAGTGGCAAGGTGTCGCCGGAGGAGGTCAACTTCGACAACGATGCCAACTGTGATTCCTCAGAGAAGGTCCGTGCTTCACGGCTGCCTGTCAATCCACGCCCCAAAGACCCTGCAGACACTTTGCCGCAGAAAGGCATGTCAAGCCCGCAGGAGCACCTGGGCGAGAACCCCTCTTCCCTCCGCATCGTGGCTGACGGGGGGGAGCCATCGGCACCTCCTGAGATCAAGGCCACGGTCAAGGCAGCAACCCTAAACCCTAAACCCTAAACCCTAAACCCTAAACCCTAAACCCTAAACCCTAAACCCTAAACCCTAAACCCTAAACCCTAAACCCTAAACCCTAAACCCTAAACCCTAAACCCTAAACCCTAAACCCTAAACCCTAAACCAGACCCCCAAACCTGGTTTCAAGCTGCTCTCCTAGCCCGGGCTGCGACCAAGGTTCGCCATGAAGGGACCACAGCCCAATCGCCTCAGAAAGTCAAGGCCACGGTCAAGGAAGCTGGGCTGCCTTTACTTGACTCCCCAAGCCCGAGGATCCCTTAAGCAACATAAGATGTAATATAATATATTATGGTAGTATAATACAATATAGTATAATTATTATGATATAACAAGGGCTATCTTTTACAATCTAATACAAGACAAGATAAGACAATGCAATACAAGACAATGTAATTTAATATACCTAATTAGAATAGAATATAATATAATAGAGAAAATAGATTATGGGATAATATCATATACTATAATCATACAAGATAATTGTAACACTATATAATATAAGATAAGATAAGATACGATAAAATGATATAATATAACATACAATATAGTAGAATAAAGATATATAGTATAATTTGAGTTCATTCAATTTAATGAAAAGGTTTAATTTTGAATTCAATTAATGTAATGTAATCTAGTATAATATCATATAAGATGGCATAACATAACATACTACAATATAATATCATATTATATATTACAAAAACATCATATAAACTAACATGTAATAGAAGATCATATTACATAACATAAATAATAAATTTGCCTCCCTAACAGCCAAGGCTCGCGAGAAGACTGGAGCCCAGGGCCACGGGCTGTCTTTGGAGCCGCCCGTGGCCTGGTCGCCGCAGACGATCTCTCAGGGATGGAGCGTGATGCCCTTGGACTCAGACACGTTGGATCGGGTGAAGCAGCTCTTCGTGGTCACCATGCCGCAAGAGCTAGGCAAGGGCCGCGATGCGCAGAAGTATGGCCGAAGCTACCAGAACCTTGAAGTCACCTGCGCGTGGCGCCTGGAGTACCCAAGCCAGTGGCTGAAGTATGCTGCCGAGCGGAATTCGGTCAACATGAACATGCAGCAGTTACGCCGCCAGGCGATTCCTCTCCAAACCTGGACGAGCAAGCTGGAGGCAGGCCTTTCTAGGGCTTATGGGTTTGAGGGTCGGCGGGCATAGGAGGGTGAGGGGTTTAGGGTCTATTTTAGGGGCTTTGTTTTCAAAACTAAGGTTTAGGGGTGTAGGGTTCAAGGGTTTAGGGGTGAAGGGACTTAGCGTTTAGGGTTTAGTTGCATCGAGAGTTGTCCAGATGCCCTGGCACCAACAGGAAGCCTCCAAGAACATGCCGGGGACGCTGCATGCAGAGGTCCGACACCTGAACTAAACCCGAACCCTGTACGCGTAATCCTTAAAGAGCAAGTTCAGCTGTTTAGGGGCTCCAAAACACTACTGTACGACAACGCAAATATCGCGACCGCCATATGCCACGTCCGCTACCCCGAACATCTTCCACAGCGCAGCCGTGCTAGCACCCCTGCATCCATGCTCCCTGCTTCTCAAGATATAGATTGACCCTACGAAACCATGGACATCTTAGGACATCTTAAAGCAATCATACCAAGATGTCCACCTTGACCGCACATCCGCAAGCTTGAACACAAAATTCCAGAAAGCATCCCTAGAAGGTCGGGGAGCGGTTCCTGCTTCACGGCACGAACCCTGCGCGCATCCTGGACATCCTCCACCAAGGCTTCAGCGACAAGCTGGCGAGCCTCAACGGGATGTTCGGTGCCGGGAGAGCTCCACTTCCTCCGACACCACTAAACCCAAAACCCGAAACCCCAAAAAGCCCCAAAAGCCTCTTGTTGGGGTTCTTCGGGCCGTTGCCAAAGAATAGAACCCCCTGAAGGTGCTGGAAGCTACGTCGCCGAAGACCCAGAGAAGATTGACCAGTACACCACGCCGGATCCAGGCCTACCCTAAACCCTAAACAATAAATCCTCCTGTCTGACTCAAAAGTGAGAGCCAAGGGCCCGGGCCCGTTTCGCTCCCCTAAGGTCAAGATCACAAACCCCAAAAGCTCCTTGCAGTAGGGCAGTGTCCCTGATAGGGCTCGATGGTTTAGGGTTGTTGTCTCGCGTGCTCATCGCTCTAGCTTGTGAGCTGACACTGACACATTTGCACTTGTACACCCTAGGCCCGCTCTTAAACCTCACTCCTTGAACCCTACGCCCTCATCTCACAGGATTCGAGGTGCCTGGATTGGAGGAGCTCCACTCGCGCCTCTACCGGGCAGGCGGAAATGCGCACCCAGGAGATCAGTGAAATCTCTGCTCCCTGAGATGAAACGTGAATCGCCAGAACCCTCTATTTTTTTACGCCCCGACCCCGAAAGCTTTGACCTAAAAGCGGACAATGGCGTGTAGGCTGAGCCGCCTTGAAATTGCCTGACAGGCCCCTGGGTTGAGTGTTTTAGGGTTGAAGGTTCGGTTTTTTGGGGGTTTGCGGGAGAAGGAGAAGACACCTTCTACTGCTTCCTGGTCCGTGCGGTCTGCGGTGCCTGCCAGGTGCCCTCGCTTTTTCAAGAGCCAGCAACCCCCAAACCCTATAACTAATTACCCTAAACCCTGCAAAAATATAAACCATGCACTTGATCACAGCTTAGGTGGTGGAAGGCCTTGACAAGGATCGGCTCAGGGACGCAGATTCTGGGACAGAGGTGTTTCTGACACCAGATCGCCGCGTGCTGAGCCACATTCCACACGCCTCGCCATCCCTCTCCTACCATACCTTGGTGGTGAACGTCGCGAAGCGCAAGGTTCCCGCTGGTGTTTACAGATTCCGTGAGGTTGTCCTCTTCGACGGCAATCGCATCTACCCAGAGTATCTCTTGGCCTATCGCAGGATCTAAGCTGTCGCTCTTCATCGTGGACGGCCTGGGTTCAAGGCACAAGCCGAGCCATTCCGTTCGACGCCCTCGATGGGGCCTTTTCGGAGACTGATGACGGATCTGAGTCGTACGTTTCATGACGTTTCATGACTTTACAGTGGAGGGAGGACGCATGCTTAGCCTCTGTTGGGACCGATAATGCCACTGCGAATTGGAGGGCACTACTAAGTAGGTCACGACCAGCGTGTCAAAAGTTTGATTTTGGAGATTCGGTGTGCTACTGGCGCCGGCAAAATACCGGTAGCCAGAACCGAAGTGACAAGGGGCGGTGGCACGGACCAGCTCAAGTAATATATGCCGACAATCGCATTGTATATCTTAGTCACTGTGGTTTTCTGATCAGAGCCTCCCCTGAGCAGTCTCACCCAGTGTCTGTGAGGGAGTGGCTTTCCGTCAGTCAGCAGCAGAACCCTTCCAGGCCTGCCGCAAGTCACGTTGTAGATCTAATGCCTAAACCCTAAACCCTAAACCCTAAACCCTAAACCCTTAACCCTTAAACCCTTAACCCTTAAACCCTAAACCCTAAACCCTAAAACGGGGGTTTTAGCTAAGGGGATGTTCCCTAAGGGAACCCCCCCAAGGTGCAGCTGACATGACTCCTGTCACGGAACTGTGCATGGGTGTTCACGAGCAACCAGACATGGAAATCTCCCCTGGTATAGGGTTTGGGGTTTAGGGTTTATATAGGGTTTAGGGTTTAGGGTTTAGGGGTTAGGGTAGTTGCAGAAGTACCCGGCTCGTGACATACCCGTCCCCGAAGCGGGATGATGACCTTGTTTTTGCGGATGCCCAAAGGTTTCTTGTACATCCCACCTGCAGGTCCATGAAACGAGTATCCCTTTAGACGACATCCCAACTCCTGAGCAAGCCTTGCAGTATGTACTGCTACCCACAGCTGAGAAGAAGAAACGTGTGGAGATTGTGGAGGCTCGTTGGAGGGACCTCAGTCCAGACAGGAGCGGCAACAGCTTGAAGGAGCCAAAAGTAAGGAGGTTGGGGCATGGCTTGATCGTAGGACGTTTGGGTCTGTTCTCCCGTGTTTGTATTTCTAAAGTCTTAGGACAAACATAGGATGCTTTTGCGCTTGTATCGAACCTTTTCGCAGAGCAAACAGTGATTTTACCCAATTCTTCTTGCTCTTCGCAAAGGTTTCACAGCCCCTAAAAAAGGTGGGGAAAGCAAATAGAGATGTTTGTCCTTCGTGAGCTGGTAACGTATTTCCCAAGTACCGGAGGCCAATCCGCGTAAGCCTTCTCCATGTTTTCCATGGTCGGCGCCTGTCTTTCCAACAGCAAAAACCCGGGGCCCCGCGCATTATTTACCCAGCTTTGCTTGCTCTGCGAAAAGGTTCTAGAATGCGTTAATACAGCCCAGGCGCGAGCTATTTGGTCGCCGGCCGAGCTATCGCACGCAAATAGCACCCAAGTTTTGGGGACCGAGCGCGTTCAACCAGCATCCTGCTGTTTGGGGACCGAGCGGACTCAAATCGCTCTCACATGTAGGGGACCGCGCTTTCAGAACACTGTAGAAGTAAAACATATCCCTTCGAGGTTTGTCGTATGTCCCCTGCTCGTACGGTTTGGTGCGGGCCTTGGAAATTTGTCGTTGGTCCCCTCCATTCGTGCTCGTAGGCTGATGTCGAAAGCAACTGGCACTCATTGTGCGTCCTGATGACCAAATAGCTCGCGCCATGGCGCGAGCTATTTGGTCACAGGGGAAACATCCATGGTGTTTTAACACGTTAAAACACACAAGTTTTTCTGGGCTGGTCGCAGGGGCATATTCACAACCTTATGGAGCCAGGATTACGTTGCCAGCACCGGGATAAACGTCTCAATGTACGCAAACCACCTCTTTTGCGGAACGTGTTTTACTGGTCGCAGGCGCATATTCACAACCCTACGATTGTGTTACCAATTTCATCGTAAGCAACTAGCACCCCATCTGCGCCCTGATGACCAAATCGCTCGTGCCATCGTGGTCGCGGGCAATAGCCCTTGAGCACAGGTTTAGGCATCGAGTCTACGGGATGAGTCGTGATAGCAGTAGCCTTGCTGTTTGTATCGTTTGCGTCGTTGTTGCATCCTTTCTACAGGGCTTCAAGTCCTCGAACCATCGACTTTTCTAAGATGCTGTATAAGATGTACATGATTCATGACTGGACGGTGTGTTATTTGCAGCCAACGTCATCTGATCGTTCTAACAAAGCATGCTGGGTGTATTTGTTTGATTAGAGTGTCGTGTTGCGGTCTTTCTGCCTTGGCTATGGTGGGCATGGTGGGTCTGGACAACCATGCACAGCGCCTTGACTGCATCCTCCAGAGATACTTCAACCTTTTTTCCGGTGTTGAATCTTCCTGCACACTCTCTGACTAGCACTGATATGTCCTCCATGTGGCAGGCTGTTGCCAGACGACCAGATGGCCGAAAACTTTCGCAGGTGCTTAACTTGTCTAGCGCAGCCTGGTGTGGTGCTGCCCCTCTGCCACGTCGAGCTGCCAATGACAGACATGTGAGGTCGATCTTGAATACGCCTCTGGAAAAGCTGACATCACCAAGGCGGCCTGCTCCTCAGTCTTCTGTCCGCTGCCATGTTGCATCAGTTGCCGTCCCGTGCTTTTTCAGGTCAAAATGCCCGTCAGATGGCGCAGCGACCTTTGATGACGCGCGAGAGAAGCAGCTCGGGTCGAAAGTGCTAAGGGCGGGCTGGCTGCTGTTTGTTTTTGGTGCTGTCTCACTGTCTTCTCGGACTGGTTGTTCAATTGGAGGAATTGGAGGAGCGGGATGGGTCGGGCTTGCCGGAAGGGCTGTGCCTGCACCTGTGCGACAAGTCTCATGCTGTAGCGGAACCTGCCATGCATCGGTTCGTTAGCTTCGCCTCGAGGTCTCCTAACGCGCGGATCGAAAGGCGAGGTCGGCTCAGTGGCCAGAGCGGCGTGAGCACCGCGGACACGTTAGGGTCGCGTCGGCTGAGCATCGCTGACATTGCGGAAGTGCAATCGCCGCGTTCCGAGGCGGGGTTCACGTCCCTTGAAGTCCTCAATCCACGTGTATCCACACACGTAGCCGTATGGCGTCGTGTGGCCAAGCTGAGAAAGCTGCGGTCCATGCAGGCGGAGGGTGACGCCACGCCTTGCAGCAATCTTTCGCAGTGCGAGATGATGAGCCTGGTTGCATACACCTCTGGCGCCGGTGGTCGTTCGGACACGGCTGCAGTCGGCTTGGCCATTGGAGGTAGCCTCGGAGGACTTGGGAAGCTCAGAGTGGAGGTTGGAGCTACTTGTAGCAGGGTCTGGAGGAGCTGGAAGCTTATAAGTTTGGCATGAGCTGGGCCTTTGCCCCGATGCCGCCTACTGCGGCAGACTCGTGCGAGATCTCACTAAGGAGCCGTACAGTTTGCGCGGTTGGCCGACGTTTGAGCGAGCGATGACCATAGCCTCCAAGGAAGACCTGTTGCAAAGTCGCCCTTCCCATTCGGCTCTAGTCGATGGCGCCCGAGGCGGTCAGCCTCTTGCCAGCTGGCAACAAGAACGTCCTGGACATAGGCTGGGTGCAACTATGAGCAGTCGCACGGCTCGCAGCTTTACAGTCTCGTGCCAGCCTATGGAATCCTGGACCTTTGATAAGCTTTACAGGTTGATGCCGTGTTGGGGCCGTGTACTGTGCTCGTAGATTGACATGGTGTGCAGGCCAACTGACCTTAGAAACACTCCGAGTGCTGGATTGGCCCGACGCTTACATTGTCCCATGTAGTCCACGTTCCCATCGCCAGGAGTTGGATGTCTGCGTGGATGTTCTTAAGGCCTTCCGTCCTCCAGACTTGCCAGGCGAAGAGACCGCCACCTATGACGCCCAGCACTTGTGATTTGATAGGTCAGAGAGCTGCTGCAAGCTTGAGTTCCCAGAGTACATCGCCCAGGCCTCTGGAGTTTCAGGAGCAGCTGCAGAGAAAGCACTTCTCGTGGAGTCAGAGCCTTAGAATTGTGCCATCGGCACCTGCCCCTATGCCCTAATTAAACCCGGCCGCTCTTGTAAGTCTATTGGCCTGTAAGATTCTGTAAGCCCCTAGCAGGCCTCGACCGGGATCTTCTCGAAGCTCTCTACCAGGAGGTCTACGAGGACCGTTAGGGCGTTCAGGTGTGGGCTGGGATGCAAAATGTCGTTAGTGCGGGTGTTTTGCCGGGAGTGCTTTGTCGGTTGCACGTTGCACCAAGAGAAGGGCAACATGGCCTTGCTAGTACGCAAATGTGCAGCTATCTTCGGAGGAGCAAGCAGCCGATTTTGAGGGTGTTTGGCGTTGTTTAAGCCGTGTTGGTTGGCAGCTCGATGGGGGTTGGGGGGTGAGGAAGTGGGGAGGGGACAGGAGTTTGCTTAACCTGACATGTGCGTTGCCTTCTCAAGAACACAATCATGCCACATTCACGTGACAATTGCGGGCATTGAGACTTCTAAAGAAGTACTCCAGTGGTGTTTGGGCATCCTCGCCGTGCAAACCCAAACCAACAGTTTCTGGCAGCTACACGACCCGAGCCAGAAAGGGCGACAAAAGGGCGACATGCTTAGAGTCCTTGAGCCGCCAAACTCGAAAGCTGTGTCCTCAAATGTCCTTAAAATCTTCCGTTGCGCAGGATTTGATCGCTGGTGCCGTCGCAATCTTAGTCAAACGGGCTTTATAAGATGAACACTGATTCTTGGTGAGCTGTGAGTATCAATGTCTTCTAACAGATGGCTTTGGACCACGGACCGGGGGAAAAATGGGGTCGAGCAATGGAGGAAAGAAACCTTGTCTAAGAGTCCTGGGGCGCGCCCGGCGTGGCTTGTTTTGCCTCGCACGAAATCCTACGAAGACAGACTCACCAGCTGAGGCATGGTGTTGCACTCTTTAGGCAGCCCTGAGCCCCAAGTCCTGACTGCGCGCCCTAGCGTATTAACCCCCTTAGGATACTCAACAAAGTAGACGGCTCTTGGAGTTCCCGCGAAAGACCCTCCAACCCCCAGGGATGCCTGGATCAGCGGGCCCTGGGCCATCTTCCCGTGCACGAGCGGCTGATGGAGAGCGAGCTGGCGTTGGGCATGCCAAAGGCTTCCCGTCTTGGTCTCGAGATTACGGGTTGAGGGATCCGGGGGCTTCAGGGTTTGGGACAACTCAGGGTACTCAGAGAATCCTTGGCGACAATCTAGGGCATTCCTGTGACAGGTTGGTGAATTTGTCACCGTGCACAAGCATAGTTCGATGGGCTGTGCCGTGGTCTCCATGCGAGACGTCAGAGTGAGACAGGCAGAGCAGATCAGAGCCTCATGAAGAGATCGTGTCACTAAACGCGCATGGATGCCAGAATTCCTTCCACATGCCTGTGTGCAGGCAATCGTTGAAGAGGGCAACGAGTGCGTCATCAGTGGCATTAGAGTCAGCGTTATCCCTTTCGACATTTGCGAGTGCACGGGCGAGGACGATCGGTGTGTGTGTGTGAGAGAGAGAATGTGGGGGGTTTAGGATCTGATGACATCGGTTCCATGCTTTTACTGCCGTTCTGTGATCCTGCTTGACAAGCGTGTGGTTGGCTGTGTTTTTTTGTTCAGTGTTGGGCAAGCGAACCCAATGCTGATTCTTCTTTCCTCTTTTGTTGGTACTGGCTGAGAGCTACGACGCTTTTTCGGTATCCTTAATGCATCACCGCCGTCGATGGCAATGTGAAATAGTTGGCGAGTCCATATCGGGTTCTAGATTTCACCCGACCCTTGCCCGATGTCATCATAAGCCATGCACAGTTGAGTATGTCTGGAAACGAAGGAGGACATCGAGCTTGGCTTGTTGGTCACGCAGGCCGGGCGCAGCAAGGGAGGCGAGGAAAGCCTGAGATGGCAAGCGCGCCGCCGGTACGGTCATGTTTTCTGCGTGTTTTGAGTTGTTTTGAGCACGTCGTTATGTCATTGTTCAACCTTTAAGTCACAGGCCGAGAAGCAGAACCCGCTGTCCTCCGAGACCATGGCGAAGCAAGGATCTCAGCTTCGACACATGTTGTGGGTTTTAGTTGCTGACAGGAACTTGAAGTTTGCAGGGTTGCTCGAGCAAGCTGCGCCTGCAACAGGTACTTCGACGCTCGGCACAAGGAGCTCACTGACTCGTGGAAAGCTGCCGAAGAGGTGCAATCTTGGCACGGTCTTTGCATGGCAGTTTGAAGCTCCTCAGCCCCGGAGAAACTTCGTGATGAAGAGCAAGAGCGTCGACACCTTGAAGAGCAGCAAGAGCCTTCCCGACACATTTGCGGTTTCGTGCAGTCAGCGTAGCTGGAGTTGAGGCGTGCGTTCCAGTGTAGCTGGAATTGAGGGTTGTTAAGGCTCGGATCGGTCCTGTGTTCGGGCGTTCGGTTTAGTTCGGTTTAGCTCGGTTCCTCTCGACATTTGAGCTTCCCTCGCTTCATAGATGGAAATCGGTGAGGCAGCTTTCGTGGAGTTTTTGCTATGCGAGTCTTTCTTGTGTTTCGCGTGTTTGTTTCTCAATGTCTTTGGTTTGCCCTAGGAAAACCTCTTTGCTCTCTGTATGTTAATAGGGTTCGTACGGATGTTTATGGGATTCTTGTTAATTGTTAGCGCGAAGCCTACTGCTTCCAATGGAGTTGGCGCTACTTTTGGGTTTCTTTCCTTGGCTTTCCCTGGGAAAACCCTCTGTCCCGACTCTATTCCCTCTATGTTTTAATCGGATTTTCTTATGAATTTCACAGGAGCCTTTTTTTGGTTCTACTTCTACTAACGCAATGACGGGGGGTTCAGTTGCGAATGCAACGCTCGCGCGACGGGTTGGACAGGAATCCTGCGATGTGAATGCAAGTTCTCTTCTGGGCATGACTCAAAGTAAATCCCAGCTGCAAACACAATGCTCGCAGGACGCGTTTGGAAAGGATTCCTATGCTTCTTACGCAAGTCCTCTCCGCCAGTTGCAAACACAACGTTCGCGCCACAGCTGCCCCTTCTCTTGTCGGCCTCCGCTTGGGTCAGTCAAGCCGCCACAGCTTCCTCCGTGCACCCGGCTGTTGCCTTTGTACAGCTCCTGGTTGCTTTTCGGCTCGGCCTTGTACTCTAGCTTAGCTTGGGACCACACGGTTTTGGGATAGGTTAATGAGGCTGGAGCTTGTACACCCCAATTTTCCCAAAGTGGTCGCATCTTCTATTCCGATGCTTTTAAGGCAAGCTCTTTCCTGGGCACAAAGTGTTCGGTCTTTCTTTCTCTTGCACTCACTTCCTCTCGTTTTTCCTTTGTTTCTTTTTTTCTCTCATTCTTCCATTCTTCCTTTCGTTTCTTTAGTCTCTGTTTCGGTCCCTTAATTCTGTTCTTGTATTTTCTTTTCTTTGCTTTTCGTCCTCACCTTCCTCGATCCTCCCCAGCCCCAGGCCCCTCTCTCTTCGAGAAAGCAGAGGCTTTCCAAAGCGGAGAAAATGAGGTTTTTCCTTTCCCCCCCCCGAACCCCCCCAAAAGAATGAGAAGAATAGGCCCCCCTTAGTGAATGGCAGGGCGACCTCCCCACTTCACAGCCTCCACGCACGCAACAGGCAACTGCGTTATCCACCCGGCCTGCCGCAAGTCTGCAATGTTCCAAGCCCAAAGCCCAAAGCCCGAGCCTAAACCCCAAATCACCTAAACCCTGGCAAGCTTTGGAAGTGTTGCCCGTGAACACTCCCGCAGCCTTCATCGCCAAGAAGCTTTAGGGTTTAGGGCTGCCTTCAGCCTGTGCCGAAGGGGTCGCGGCGGCTGTCCGGAAATTAAGATATGTTTCGCTTTAGCCTGTCCTGGGGGCCCCGAACTTCGAGGAGCAGCAATAGACTGGCTGTTGCAGTCGGTAGTTGGGGTCCAAGGGCCAGCCAGGATCACTTCTGGGTTCGTGGCCATTCCATGAGGTTTATCTTCCCTAGTGATCTTGTCCTTTCGAAGAAGGCTTTCATAACCCTTCTCCTCACAGCGTGCCTCATGGGCTTCAGCCTCCAAACTCGTCCACTCAATAGGTCCGCAAGCTTGATGTGCGAGTTCTCTCGCTCACCTGCTGAAACTGCCGCTGCTTTAATGGTGACGTCATGGGCTTGCCAGGGTTTCGTAAGAACAGCCTTCCGGATTCGAGAAAACTGAGACGAAGGCGAGCTAGCGGTTCACTTGGGTTTTCAACTTCACGAATAAACGGTCAGGAGTAATGATCAGCATCATGTCGGCGCGAAGAGTAGGAAAGCTGAAAAAAAGAAACAACAAGACGCGCGCCGCAACGCAACATCAAGCAGCGCAAAATGATGCACAGTTCAAGAAGCAAGCATTGCTGTTCCTTTTTTTCGTGTCTGTTGCTTGTTTTGTGTCGGGCGCTGCCTCTGCTCGCGTTTGTTCACGTATTTGTTGCACGCTTGTTTTGCGTGTTTGTGTTTCAACATGTGTGCGTGGTTCTAGCATTTTTCGCGCGCCGTTTCTCACAACATCTCTAATAGTCAACTCCGGAGGAGTGTAACTGTCGGCGTATTTCGATTCTCAACAAGGCCAGCTTTGCGGCCGGTGAACTGGATGAAGCGCGGCTTAGACACCAGTGCTTTCGATTGTGCGAAAAAGCTGGCTGGGCGACTGGGTGGGCGACTTGTTACCATGCAGCTTCTGAAAGTGCTCTGATGCGAACACCCAGGTAGATGTAGTGACTGGGTTCCCGCTTTCGGTCTTGGGGCAACAACGCCATCCTCCAAACCCCCCCCGAAAACGCCTAGTTCACCCTCACTTGCAACTTGCAACTAAGCTCCTTGGGGGGGGGGGGGGGGGGGCGGGCAGAATTTAATACAGCCTAGGGAAGCCACGAACTAAGATATTTCACTTGGACTCTACAGCCTCCGTAGGAGTTCTTATCGTTTATGCTTTTCGAAAAATAGCCCAGAAAGAGACGATTGAAAGTACTAGTTCAATTCAGGGTCTCAGGCTGTAGCGCCGTTGCGCGTTGTCTGTCAAGTCGGCCCCACTCTGGAGACATTTAAAGTGAAGCTTGTGCATTGTTGCGTCAGTTTGTGCCTTATCCAAGACGGTGTTTGTTCGCCGAGTTTTGGGAAGGAATGGGGTGCAACTCAAGAACAGAAACAAGCAACTACAGCAACTACAGCAGCTACACATGCGAAGCACTTGGCGTCGATGCAGCCATGGAAGTTGACTTGTGCAAGAACTCTTCGGACGGTGAGGATGACTATGAGCCCCCTTCGGATGACGACGTTGAGTCGATTCCAGTGTGCATTCGCCATCCTGGTTGGACGAATGTGATCTTAGTGATTGCTTATGGCTTGGCTGGCATCATCTTTCTTACCACGCAACAGGGGTGGCAGGCGGAAACAGCCTTCTACGTGGTGGTGCAGATCGTCACGACCATTGGGTTTGGCGACATCACGGTGACGAAAGAGGAGGAGGCAGCCGCGGCGAATTTTCTTGCGCATGTACAGTAGATGGGTCAAAACTGAAGACGGCAGCCATGTTTCACTTGTGTGTGTGGGGACTAGTTCAGACACCAGATTGTGTAGCCTCGTTTAGGTTTACGGGTATCCATGACGCGTGCACTTGATCGGAAGGTCTTCATGATTTTTTACGTGCTTCTGGGCACTGTCCTTGTGGCGAAGGTCGTCAATGATGTTTCCGAAGTTTTTTTGGAAAGGGCAAGCGAGCGTGTGGATGACGCTTTACACCGAGTGGAGGATGTCATATTCACATCGGGTGGCAACGAGCCTAATCATCACCATCACCGTCATATTTGCCCTGCAAGGTATCATCATCTCATCTCTGCAGTTGTGATCCAACTGATCTTCTTGCTCGTGTGGACCTTGTTCTTTGGCTTGTACGAAGGCTGTACCTGCTCCTACGGCTACACGCTGGTGGAGGGCTGTGTAGAGGAGAGGTGTGAGGAGACGGGAGGGACGACGAAAACACTCTTGGATGCAGTCTATATGGGGGTTATCACGTTTTCGACTGTTGGCTTCGGAGATTACACTCCAGACACGAGACTGGGCCGGATGATAGGCCAGTGCCAGTGATTGAACTCGATCCATAAGGTTGTTTGCAGAAGAAAGGGTTTAGAGTTTAGGGTTTAGGGTTCCCACCCTCTGCTCCTCTTCCGGGCAGGTTCCGTGCTGATGATGGTCGGCGTGGTGGCCTTCTTCAATGGAATCTCTGCTGTTGCAGAGGTGATTTCTGCACACCAGCGATACTACAAGAACAAGCTGCGCCTGTCGCGTGCTGGCTTCAGACACATTGACAAGGACGGGAGCGGGCAGATTAACAAGACCGAGTTTCAGGCCGGCGCAGCTCAAGCACAAAGCTGCTCTTTGTAGCATTCTGTGAACGGGAACCCTGAGCCCGAAACAGCTGAACAAGCTGGGCATAATTACGTGGAAAGTATCGTGCCTTGCTTACTCCCCATTTCCTCTTCGGCCCAGGTTTACATGCTGCTGCGGCAAAACAGGGTGACGCCGGCCCAGCTAAGACATCTTGAACGGCTGTTCGTCTGCATGGATCGTGATAGGACAGGGAAGCTCTCCTACGAGGAAATCAGGGAGGGATTGCTGGACGTTGACGTGGAGTAGCTCGACAATGGCGATGCTTCGGCTTCGATGGGTTCTTAACGCGGTTTGCGGGTGCTGAGTCTCCAAAGCCAAAGAGATACCACACCTGGGTGTATTATTGGGACAATCACTACTTCACCCTCAGCTTAAACTGAAGCTGAGAAGGAGGGGTGGCACATTCTGTGAAAAACCGCCTGACATGGCGACCTGGATCCTGAAACAGCCAAAGCCTGCCTTTCATGCCAGAAAGAGAGCCGCTCGGCGAAGGCGTCGATGTAGATTCTTGTGCTGCCGTAGCCATGACTGGCGTTCAAAGATCAGCGTCACCCAACCCTTGAACCACCCCAAGCCCAAAACCCCGGAACCCTAAACCCCCAAGCCGTAAATCCTCTAAACCCAAGCCTAAACCCCGAAACCCTAAATACTAAACCCTTGTAAAAACCCTAAACCTCCAAGCCGAAACCATCTCAGCCCTAAACCCCCTAGCCCTAAACCCTTAAACAGAGATTGCAAGAGAAGCTTGAAGGTTGCCCAGACTCCTGGGAGAGTGGTGTGTGATGAGTGGAGGGTTGTAGGATTCCTTGTGCTACAGGGCCTAGTTAGGGTGTTAGGGGTAGGGCTTGAGGGTACTTGTGTAGTTAATGGAATTTCTTCAGGGTCTTGTATTACCCAAGCTTCCGCTCAAGCGGCGCAGTTGGTCTGCTTCCAGAATGGACTGGGCAGCTGCAGTTGCAAATGAAACATGCGGTCTTCCATTTTTCCATAGATGTTTCAGAGCCTTGTGCAACCCTGTGTGCATTCACCCTCAATAGGGCTTTGCCATTGCTTCTGTCCTCCTTCCGCCGGCGATGCCTCAATACAGCCCGACTTCGGTCCTCGGTCCTGGTGGATCGCCCAGCGTTTGGGGCGAGCCGTTGCGGCTGAGTTGGAATCTTCGGGACGTGCTGCTTTACGCCGTGGGAGCCTAGACCATGTTATGAAGCCCGCGGCGGGCCCGCATTTCCACCTTTTTGCCTGGGTTCGGTTTGCTTGTGAAGCGCATGAAATACAAAAAGGGCACCCCTGTCATTCCCAGGTTTTGGCACCGGTGTCTCGTAGGCAACCCTGAGCCCTAAACCCGAAACCCTAAACCCTAAACCCTATACACCCAGCCTGCTTGAGAAATCTTGAGGAATTGGCTCGCGCGACCTGCGCTTTGTGTATGAGGCACGATGAGCCATGTCGACTCATGGGTTTCGGGTGCAGTTTAGGGTTTGGGGTTTAGGGTTTAGGGTTTAGGGTTTAGGATTTAGTTAGGGTTTAGGGTTCAGGGTTCAGGGTTGGGGGTTCAGGGTGGTTTAAGATTGTTTTTGCAAGACACCACACATGTGATCGCTTGTGCAAACTGCCATGTGGCAGTTTCACGTCGAAGGCGCATCCTGAGTTTGCCGTCTTCCCAACTTTCCCGATACGATTTGGGACGTTGGGGGCTGCCAGCTTTGCATCTGCCTTACCCCCCAGCTTGGGTCCACTGACCATCGATGCAGAGCGCATGTTGGACCCTAGGCTGCACGGTCGTTTACCCAGACAAGACCCTACTAAGCAAGCAACGTGGCTATCAGAGAGTATTTCGGGTTCTTGAGGTCAGCTCAGCCGAGTTCTGTACTTTTTCTGTACTTTTTCTGTACTAATTCTGTACGAACTCTGTACTTCTACTGTGGGTTTGCATCTTGCATGCGCCCGGGATCAGGAGATGCACCGCCCCCTTCCCACGGCTGGTGCAGCGAAGATCTGCTCTCGTATCGTGGGTATCCATGAGCGGCCCAAGGGAAGCTCCTTTGTGGAGTATGAGACTTTGGTCTCAGATGATGCAGGGGTGCCGTACTGTCGATTGGTGACTGGACAGTATCGCCGCGGCGTGAACCAGTTGGGTGATATCGAGCCGTTTGAAGGTGCGGGGACGACCTACAGCAACAAGCTTGCTTTTCCTTCCACGCCGCCGGACGTTACCTGTGAGCAATGGATTCCGGATAACCAGGCTCTCGTTTACCGCCTCTCAGGTGACTACAACCCCTTACACATCGACGTAGATGCTGCCAAAGTCGGAGGCTTTGACCAGCCGATTCTGCACGGACTCTGCACTTTCGGACACTGCGCCAGCATGCTTCTCGGCGCTTTGTGTGATGGAGATCCCGCGCGATTCAAGAGCATCAAGGTGAGATTCTCGTCTCCGGCCTCTTGGACAGAGAGTTTAGGGTTTAGGTTTCAGGGTTCATGGGCTCGGCGGCTAGGCTACAGGTGCGCAAAGGTTTTCCGTGTGATTTCACGTGGCAGCGTAACGAGGTTTTCATGAAGAGCTCGCTCCGTGTGCACGCCTGGCACGACGGGCCCGGCAGGGTCCTTTTCCAGGCGGAAGTGGATGGGAGGCGGTGTGAGGGGTGGGAGGGGGTGAGAGCAGAACTCTGGAGATTCGGAGTATCGCTGAGAACCCTAAGATTAGCGCTGCGGAAGCAAGGAGAAGTGCTTGCGGTCCATCTTAAGAACCCACGCCGTAACTCAAACTACATTCCTTGGCTTGGTCTCTCTGTGAGTATCATTGGGGTGGGGGGGCCCGAGCTCAAGCCCAGCAGTCCTTTGGCAGGTTGGTGGTGGCGCACGCGTACTTCGAGTTTCACGAAGCGCCCCGCGCCGCGAAGTTGTGATCTGTGCGAGGCCGAGTGAAGCAAAACCGGCGGCCACCTGGTGCATAGGAGGCCTGAATTCCCAAAACCCCAAACTCGAAGCCTAACCATAGGAACCCCTTGAGCCCCAAAAGCCGAAGCGCAAAGCCTGGCCGACAAAAGCCACAAAGGCTTCCAGCAAGCACGGCCAGCAGGGCTCTCACGTTCCGAAGGCAGCCTGTGACTGAACATCAGCGCCCAGAACCCAACGTGTCACACGCTTCACTGGCAAAAGTAGGTCGTGTCCTAAATGCGGTGAAGGCACAGTAGGTGCCTCCTCCCCAAAGATATCCAACGCCTGAATCTTCCAGGAAGGCATTGTTTGTGGAGACAACTCCCTGTCTGAGCCATGGCCAACATCCCTCCAAACCGCGCTCGCTCGCGGACGCCTCCGCGGGAGGCGGCCGCACGAGGATTTTGGGTTTAGGGTTCATGGTTGTTGAAGCCGCATGCGTGGCTAAGAACTCCACACATCACAAACGCCAAAAGGGGGGGGAAGTTGAGATGCGTACGCCTTGTCCAGGGCGTGAAGACCTCTGCCGTCTCTGTCGCGGGCGCAGCCTTCAAGGCTGCCATGGCCGCAGCGAGTGCGCTGAAGCAGCCACTCGGGTTGTCTTGGCATGAGGGATGCAATATGGGTTTGGCTCTCCCTGTGGAGTTGTTACTTGTGGATTCTGTACACTTAATGCCCTCCTCGCCCAGAAACCTTTCTTACCCCTAAACCGTAAACCCCCCTAAACCCTAAACTCTGAACCCTAAACCCTAAACCCTAAACCCTAAACCCTAAACCCTGAACCTCTTGAGCCTCCCCAGGAAGGTACAAGGCAAGCTGCCAGTGGCGGCTGCGGACCCGGCACCGCAGGCCCTTTTGGGAATCCTCGGCCTGTTAGGGTTTAGGGTTTAGGGTTTAGGGTTTAGGGTTTAGGGTTTAGGGTTTAGGGACATCCCCGCCATTTGGGGTAAGTAGCCTCTGCATATGCTGCAGAGGAAGCAGGGGGACCCCAACAAAGCCCCCAAGCTGGGACCATGAAGTTTCCCAACTTCCTGCCCCGGACCGCGGGCGGAGGTGAAGTAGGGCGTATATTGCTGTTTTTGGTGAGTGTATATAAGGTTCCCTTTAATATTGGTGAGTGTAGATATTGGGTGTCCTTTTAGGGGTACAAGGAATAGACACCCTACGTCACAGGTGGCCAAGGATGCGCCCGCGCAGGGCGCCGCCGAGGAGGCTCAAGCCCCCGCTGCCACCGAGCCCGGGCCGGATGAGGCGAGGTTCATGGGTACTTATGGGCAGGGGCATAAGTGGTTATAACTTTATTGAGGGTACTTATAACCCTACTCATTAGTACCCATGTAAGGCTGCCCGGCCCTAGAAAATTTCAAGACACCCCTGCGCTCAGCCCCTCGACTCTTAAACCCTTTCCCCTGAAACCAAAAACCCCGAAAAGCCTTTCAACCCTATCAACCCTATCAACCCTAAAGCAATAAAAACCCTAAAAGCCCTATCAACCTTATCAACCTTATCAACTTTATCAACCTTATCAACCTTATCAACCTTATCAACCTTATTATTCCTACACCCGAAACCCTAAACCCTAAACCCTACAGCCTTAAGCCTAAACCTTAAACCCAAACACCTCCAAAAGGCCGCGGCCGAGGAGGTTGGGCCGGAGCCCGGCACACCAGAAGAGCCACCTCCCGAGGAGCCCGCTGAGGAGGACAGGGGCTCCGGGCGGAGGATGTTGGTCTCAGGGTTTAGGGTTTGGGTTTAGGGTTTAGGGTTTGGGGTTTGGGGTTTGAGAGGGCTGCCGTGGAACGTGCCCGGCCGCCACATTGGTTTTGCTAACGGGGGAGTACTCCATTCCCTTAAACATCATAACCAAACCTTAGCCCCAAGCCCTATGGAGAATCGGTTGAGTAGAAAGCCTGAGCCCCACACCTTCGACCGTTACTGCCCCCCCAGCCCTCTTATCAACTCGAAAGCCGCCGGTTTTCGGAGGTCCGAGGGTTCTGCCGGGAGTAGAGGTTTTGGCAATTGTGTGTTGCGCATTCTGGGTTTTTTTACTTGGAGGATCCAGACCCAAACCTGAGCCTGGGGCAGGTACGCCAGACACTGCCCTAAACCTGAAGCCCCAAACCCCAAGCGTGCCATCCTGTGCGCCCTGAAGGAACAAACCTGGTCCTGTCACGGCTGCCACGCCAGCTTCAGTTCTCTCCAGGAGCTGCTCGGGCTTTCAGCATTCGTGGGAACCCCTATACCCTAACACTGAGAAAGCAGCCAGGAAAAGGAATTACAAATTTAGTTTTAGCGAAGACCCCAAACAGAATGTGTATAAGAATGCCCTTGGTGCCGAGATGTGTATGCCAGAAGCCATACAAGAGACGTGCTGGCTTTTGCACGGGAAGAGTGGGAAATCTACCGTGCTTGCCCCGACCAAGCCCGAAGAGCAGCAGCTTCTTTCCGCGAGCGAATCACACACAGGCTGAGATCTGTGTGCCAGCAGCACATACAAGCTCGATGCAGAACGCAAGACATGGTCCCAGCACGGAGTAGCACAAGGCTTTTTTTCCGCGGGAGATGACATTCAAAGGATGCCCAGGTGCCGAGACTTGTGCGCCAGCACGTAGAAGCTTGGGATACAAGAGACACGTCTGCCGCATGGGCAAAGTGGGAAATCTACTGTGCTTGCCCACCCACGTCGCCCGGCCCGGCCCACTTTTTCTGAGGAAAGAGCCCCAAACCCTAAACCCTAAACCCTAAACCTGAAACCTGAAACCTTAAACCCTACACTTAAATCCCTAAACCCCCAAACCCCCAAACCCCCAAACCCCCAAACCCCTAAACCCCTAAACCCCTAAACCCCTAAACCCCTAAACCCCTAAACCCCTAAACCCCTAAACCCCTAAACCCCTAAACCCCTAAACCCCTGACCCCTAAACCCCTAAACCCCTTTAGGGTTTAGGGTTTTGGGGTGGTTTGTCATGGCTTAAGCCTACGGGTTCTTCGCGCGAATTCCCGGAATTGGGTTTAGGGGTTTTGGGGGTTTTGAGGATCCTGAACCCTAAACCCTGAAGCCTAAACCCTCAACCCTGCTAGACCCATAATCCCCCCACATGCAGAACCTTTACATGATCCTCAAGGAGCCCTCAGCCCCAGCCATATGCCGATATTCTCCCACTAAGAACCCTTCTAATGCCACCCAAACTCCTTAAACCCTAGAGTAAGTATAAGGCTGAGAGTGCATGCGCTCGAGGCGCCGCACGCGTTTGGGGGGCTCGAGGGCTACTTCGTGGATACACCTTAAACTGAGGAACACACCTTAGTTTCTGTCCTTGCTATCGAACTACGGTCGACTCCTTGAGAGGTATTGGGATGTAGCTCCGGGGAGTTTCGGGTGCCGGTCTTCAAGCGGCGTCTGGTTTCAGCTTTGAGGGCTTTCTGGGTTCGGTTAGGATTTAGAGGATTGTCGGGTTTGGGGTTTAGGGTGCGGGATTTTGCGGAAACTAGTCTGTGGATCGAGTGCCCTGGCCCCAGCGTGGATTCCTTATCAAATCCTCCAGAAGGGTTCCAAGCCCCGAGCCCAGTCTTAGAAGAGGCCCCCCCCAACATTGCCCCGCATTCTGCAAGGAGGAGCTCCTGAACGGTTTGGGGCTTGGGGTCAAGGGATGCAGGATTCACGGATTTAGGGTTTAGTAATCTTTGGCCTGTAGGCTGGTTCAAGCCTACAAGCCCAACACCCAATAAGCACTGAACCCGACCCGCCACAGGCGGGCGAGCGCTGTAATGGCCCAGCCTGGCAGGCCAGGGCTTGGTTTCCTTTGTGAGGGTTTTGGGGTTTAGGGTTCAGGGCGTCGGCTAAAGTCCTGACGATACTGCTTACGCGCTATGGAACACACCCCCCCCCCCCCAATCTCCACCCTCGCCCTACACTGCAAACTCGACAGCCCCGTTTCAAGGCGGCGGTCAATGCCATCGGCTGCATGCCGGGAGCACGCCCGGCTTTTGTTTTTTTCCCCTTTTTTTCATGAATCTACAAAACCCACCTAAAGCCTAAACCCTAAAGCCTAAAGCCTAAACCCAGGTAAGGGGAGTTTCATGTTAAGCCTTAGACACTGCAGGATCATGCTGCTCATGCTCCCGAGCCTCGGATCAATGCTTGCTGTAGATGAGCACTCCCTTACTGGGGTAACTACCCTGAGATGCAGCCCCAGGAGCCCTCCGTGAGCAAGTCTAAAGCCCTAAAACCCTCAAACCGTGAGACCCTAAAACTCTGGAACCCTGAAGCCCTAAACCCCGAAGCCCTAAAGCCCTAAAGCCCTAAAGCCTAAAAACCCTCAAAGGTGGTGGGGGTGATTATAGCATCTTTGGATAGGGACATACGATTAGAAACTGTTTTGACCCCTTTTCTTAAACCCACGCTAAACCCTCTCTATAAACCCTTTCAACCCTTAACCCTTGAAGACCCCGTAATCAAAGGATAATTCAACATACCCCAAACCTATACCCCTCTTTTTCAAGGGCTTTGACCAAGATTTATGTTGAACATTTCTTAGACACTGAGGTGCGAAAAGAAAGCACCCCTAGTAAACCCTAAACCCTAAACCCTAAACCCGAAACCCGAAACCCGAAACCCGCTGCCAGGCCGGTTCCGTCCTCTGGTGCCCGGCCTGCCCCGACAGCCTCCTGGGTAAGTGGACGGGACCCACATCCAAGGCGCCGACCCTGGTGCGTCCTTTTGGGGTTTAGGGTTTCGGTTTTAGGGTTTAGAGTTTCGGGTCTAGGGTTCAGAGGTTTACAGTTTGGAGGTTTAGAGTATAGGGTAAGGGTCTTGTCCAAACTACTAGTAGGGCTCCTTTCCAGGTGACTTGTCTTAAGTGAATGCCGTGATGAAAAGGCACGTTAAGCTGAAATCAACCCGCTTTTCGGGTTCCAAGTGTCTTCCAGCACGTCTGGCCCACATTAGGGACATTCAAACATGGCCCATTTAGGCCACCCCAAACTCTAGACCTCAACCCCAAACCCCAAAACCACAAGCGCTTCATGGGTCAGGGGGAGTTGCAAGTCTGAGATCTGCCCAGCCCTTAAACCCTTAACGGGGAGTTTAGGGTATTCCGCCCAAACGCTACTTCCCCCAAACCTTTATAAATCCCAAACCCTAACCCTACCTATACCTTCTGCGACGAGTCGCGCCAAGGCATCCGCCTTGCTCAGGCACGCCGTCTCGGCAAGCAAGGCCGGGAGGGGTTTGTGGTTTTGGGTTTAGGGTTTAGGGTTTAGGGTTTAGGGCTTGGGGGTAGGGTGTTAGGGTCCAAGGGAAACCGCTCAGGGTTGAGGGGTTTCAGGATTTCGGGCTTAGGGTTTAGGCGTTTCGGGTCACGAAGAATGAGGGTTCAGAAGGCCCCCCCTGGTTCTTAGTAGGGAAGGAGGGAATTTGGGGCCCTATGTATACCCTTAAAGGCATTATATAGGGTACCTCATTCCCTCATTCCCTACTAAGAACCAGCCAGAAGGATTTTTAGCTGTTATTGTTGAGGGCATCATATGTTTATGGCAGGATTTGATATTGATACAAGAGCTCGTTATACTTCTGTTACCTTCAAGATTGCTGTTCCTACTGGTATGAAAGTTATGAATTGATTATCTATTTGAGCAGGTTGTAGCTTTATGGCTACTACTTTGTTTTGAATCATAGGTTTTCTGTATTCATTTAATTTTGGATGATTTAGTGTTTAGTTCTAGCTAATGTAGTCCTTGATGTTATTCTACTTGAGGTGAGCAAGGCGCTAGCAACCGGTGTTCCGCGACTGCTGCAGCATGGTGCCGATCATTCCATGGCTAGCAGCCTAAACCCTACACACTAAACCACAACCCTAAACCCTAAACCCTAAACCCGAAACCTTAAACCCTAAACCCTGAAACCCCAAGGCCTCCTCCAAGGACATGGTTCGGGTCTCAGCGAAATCTCAGCGGGGCATCCTCAGGATCCACGAATCCACCAGGGGTTCCTTGCACTTAAACCCTAAACCCTAAACCCTAAACCCTAAACCCTAAACCCTAAACCCTAAACCCTAGATTTTAATCCCTAAGCCCTAAACCCCAAACCCTAAACCCTAAACCCTAAACCCTCAACCCTCATCCCTCATGGTGTTTTTTTTGCTGACCGTTGCTGGCTTCTTCAAAGGATATCTTGGAAGCCCGGTGGTGCCTTGTGCGCTTTTTTTGGGTTGAGGGTTTAGGGTTTCGGGTTCAGGTTCCTTTGTGCCAGTAAGCAACCCCAAACAGGGTACCCTCATGGTTGCAAGATGGCTATAGTTGCCTTGCTGCGAAAACATAGAGGAATGCGTGCCAGTTCGTAGGTTGCTTACCGGGCTACCAAGATCTAGAAAAGTGTATGAGTTTGTTCGTGATGTTTCTCGGCGAGTAACGCCCTGGCCTAGTATACGTAACCCCCTCATCGCTTCCCTAAGAATAGGATACAAGTCTCTTTCACCTTCAGTGGATAGAGAAGGAGACTGTACTCCCAATCTATCACCCTAAACCCTGAACCTGAATTCTAAACCCAAAACCCGGAACCCTAAACCCTAAACCCGAACAAAATCACCGCCCTAAGGCTCCCAAAGCGCACGCCTGGTTTCTGGCGGGACTGGTTGACCTCCTCCTGTGCTCGCCGCCGCCGCCGTGCGACGCCTAGCTCGGACAGTATCATATGAAGCAGGGTTTCTATTACTGTTTTTGGTGAGTGTATAGAAGGTTCCTTTTTAAAAGTGGTGAGTGTATGTACTGGGTGGCCTTTTGGGGTCACAAGAAATAGATACCCTACTTCATATAAAAATTTAAACCCTAAGGAATTCGTGGTTCAAGGCCAAATCTGGTGGTTTAAGGCAATTTTTTCGTGGTTCAAGGCAATTTTTCTCGTGGTTCAAGGCCAATTCTCGTGGTTCAAGGCAATTTGCCTTAACCACGAAAAATTGCCTTGAACTACGATGACCTTGAACCACGAAAAAAATTGCCTTGAACCACGAACGATTTGGTGTTTCAGGGCAATTTTGTTCGTGGTTCAAGGCAATTTTTCGTGGTTTAAGGCAAATGGCTTTGAACCACGAGAATTGGCCTTGCGAAAAAATTGCCTTGAACCACGGTTCGGGGGAGTCCGAGCGTTTGCTGTCAAGACTGTAAGTTCTGGCAATTTGCTTTGGATACCCTACTGGCTGTATAAAGGCCCGCATTCTCAAAGAAGGGGCCCCCATTTGGCAGTTTGGAACAACCCCAAACCCCGAACCCCAAGCCCCAAACCCTAAACCCTAAACCCTAAAAACCCACCTTGGAGGCCGTTGCTTCCTGATGAAGCCGGCGCAGAGGAGGGCGGTGGCGGTGTCTGTTTAGGGGTCAGGCTTCAGGCTTCAGGGTTTAGGGCTTCGGGTCTAGGGTTTAGGGCCGCAGTCATGTACCGGGCTCATTCTTGCAGGTTTCTGAGAATAGGTGTACGCCAAAACTGGGGAGACAGTTATATATTCGACTCTCCATATATGTATGTATGTGTAATTGCTACTTTTGGCTCAAGTTGAGGGTAACGGGTCCAGCGACTACTTGCGGCGACTTCGGAGCCCATGGCGATGTGTGAAGGTGAGAACAACTCGACACCGGAAACCGTTACCGAGTACGAGCCGATGGCCATCTCCGAGAACATGGAGGAGGAATTACATCGCCTTGGCGCCTCCTCCGACATGATCGCTCATCTCAAGGAGGAGGACGAGATGGTGCATCTGCCGATGCCGGGCAACCTCGACGGATCAATTCGCACCGAGGTTTTGCGTTGCATGTTCAACATGCTTCAGGCACATCCTTTGGGTAGAAGCACTTGGTTTCAGGCGGCCCTGCTTCTTGATCGCATCACAGCACGCAAGAGCTTCTGCTTGGAACAGCTACCACTGACCTGTACGTGCGTGACAAGCCTTGTCTTGAAGTGCGCCTCCAGCGCGGCAATGCCCCCCCCCCCCCAAAGGCAAGAACCCGATCAATGACTTTGCTACATGGCTGGCTTCCACGCAGAACTGCGTGACTGCAGAAGTGTCCAACCGAGCAGTCTCGCAGCATGAGAAGGAGGTCTTAGAGGTGCTCGATTTTCGGGTGCAAGCTCCCTGCGTTCTGCAGTGGTGCCAGGCCTACTTCACTCGCTTCGGACTCTTGGCGAGCCGGGATTTCCAACTTCCCCTTCAGCAGATGCACGAAACGGTGTTGATGTTCGCACGCGCCGTGGTGATGTCGCTCAGCCACGGCAAGCTGGCCGCTGGACTGTTTAGCCTGAGCTTGGTGTTCTCGGGCCTGCTGCCAATGGCCAGCCTCATGCCGTCGAGCATGAACGTTGCAGAGTGGACCGCCCTTTTTGCAGCGACCCCCCCAGTGCCGCCATGCCTTCTGCCGCAGGCTGTAACGATGAGGCTCATGGACATGATGTGCTTGGCCGTCATGGAAAAGCCTGACGTCATCCGAGCCTGGTCAAGGCATGCAGTAGAAGCTTTGAGCGAGTCATTTCAGCAAATTTACATTTCCCAAGGGGAGCAAAGAGCGAGCAAGGCTGTATGGGCCTAATGTTCCGGGTGGGAGGCAACAGTTGCGTGTTTCGGTCTCAGAGAGGAATGTCGAATACTGTACCAGCCTGGGTCTTACCGACGATAAATTCTCCAGTTGCGGCACACGTGGTGCTCTCAGTAAGCAGCTTCCGATCTGAGTTGCAACCGGTTTGTAGCTTGGACTGGCCAGGTGGTGGCGTCCCTAAGCCCAAAAAACGTGCCAAACACAGATTGCCAAGAGCCCTGGAAAATCGAACAATCTTTGGGCTTGAGAGACTTCGGATCACCACTGGCTGCACACGGAAGCCTTGGAGAGCGCGCAGAGTCGTGCTTGGACGTAGGGCAGTGTTGAGCCCTAAACACTGTGTTTTGTTTTCACGGGCTGATCTGCGACTCTTCCTGCTTGCTGGGCAGTATCTTCTACATGAGGCACCGCATGCGTCCATTCGCTTTTTAAAGGGAGCGCTCCGCAGCGCCTTGTGGACTGGCATTCGAGAGTTTCGAGGTTTCGGGCATTGAGGGGTTTAGGGCGATGAGCCTGAGAGCGGAGCGTTGTGCAGCGAGCTGTGCCATCACGCAAGTCGCACGTCGCGACTTGTGTTTGGAGAAGCGCTTTGCGATCTTCTTGTTCATCCGTCGCCTAGTCGGTCATTCATACCCGTATGCTGATGGCTGCGTTCATGTTTTGTTTGCCTGAAGATCGCGTTTCACCTGTCGCTGTTTCGCTCGGATTCTTGAAAATATGTGTCGAACGAGCGGCAAAGCTGCCAGCACCGCAGCTGGCTGGATGTTGATGACGAGGTATGTGTAACTCCCGAACTTTTTGCTTGCGAACAGTACATAGTCCTGAACCCACAGGGACGAGCCACAACGACCATGGCGCTTGGGCGCGTTGCCAACTCTGGCTGATCACCTTTGCATCCTGGGAGCCGCGCATCACTTCTTCTCATCTGACGGGTCTTGGGGGCACGCGAACTGAATTTTTTTCTCCAGGGGGCCATCATCTCAAGGCTGCTATGATTCCATGATATGTTTGTAAGTTAAGATGCTGTTTCACTAAGTCGGTTCGGCTCGACGCATGAAGGCTGAAGATGGCCCAAAGAGTTCGCGGCCTGAGATCCAGCCAATTTCCACGACCAAAAACCACGACTTCACGGAAAAAGAGCTCCGCTTGAGCTGCTTACATGTTCGCGTCTGTGGCTAGTTAGTCAGCAGCGAGTCCGCTAGACCAGGCCCAGGCCCCATTCTGTGCTGGCTTGGAGGTTATAAGTAGGTTTATAAGTGTCCTAAATAAGGTTATAACCATACTTACCCTACTGAAAAACCCTACTTATGTGTACCCGAATGAACCTGCACGTGGGGTTAACACAATCACGAAAGCTAGACCTGAGGGAGCGAGACCAACCCCAGTCAATTTGCATGATCTTTCTGAGGAAAATGGGGGGGCCCATCGATCGACTCTAGCAATCACGGGGTGGGGGGGGGTCTCCATTCCTATCAATAATTGCTGTGAAATCCTTAAAGGGGGGGGGGTGGGAGGCGATGGATGCGCAGTCGCTGTGTCATAGATCGCGGTCTGTATGCGTGCTTCAGAGACCTCCGCGGATCTGGATCAATCACCGTCTCCGTGTGCGCATGTGTGGTGTTGTGGGGCGTTGGTGGAGTGTGGATGTGCGTGGTGGAATGGAGTGTGATGGTGGTGGTGGTGGTGGTGGTGGTGGCGGCGGCGGCGGCGGCTGCGGGGGTGGTGGTGGTGGTGGTGGTGGTGGTGGTGGTGGTGGTGGTGGTGGTGGTGGTGGTGGTGGTGGTGGTGGTGGTGGTGTGGCTGTGCCCCTCAAAGTTGTGTTTATTTGTCTTTATGCGTATTCATCTCTATATTGTACTTGGTGGGATGAGGTGACTAAGATTCCGTTTTAAATCCCTATGCCTGAATGCCGCTACCTCTTGAATCACCGGTTGCGCGCCTTCCTGCGTATGTCGTGGCACCACAATTATCGGTTCTGGGCTTTTGAACTGACTCGTGAACTCCTCGGCCCTGAGACAAAATGCTGAGCAGGGAGTCTAGTCAGGCAGGCCCATGGACCATTACAACATCATAGGCAGATAATAGTAGAATTAACATAAAAAACTAATACTATAGTAATATAATGGTAGAATCGCAGAATGATATGAGATTATAGCAGTTAAATTAGTAGAATAACAGAATACTATGATCTTATAGTAATATAATCGTAATGAAAAGCATAACAATACAATCTTGTACGCCTGTACGAAAATGCTGCAGCTTCGCCCGAGAAGGCAGTGGAGCCACCCGAGATCCAGCAGGAAAGGTTGCAGGCGCAATCACGGGGGGCGGCTGGCACCAGGGGAATGGTTTGGGGTTGTTAGGATCTAAACCCTAAACCCTAACCCTAGACCCTAGACCCTAAGCCCTAAACTCTAAAGCCTAGACCCTAAGGCAGGTTGCAGGATTCTTCAGCGTCGGTAGACTTGCCCTGCTGCGGCGCATGTATTCCTGGACTGCTTGTGATAGTTTCCGAAGCCTTGGGCACCGGCATCTGACTGAAGTCGATGATGAGAAGGGAGGGCGTGGCCCCCTTTGTTCCCCAACTTTTTTGGTGCAAAGCGCAATAAACGTGAAGGGACCGGCTCTCTTCATTGCCGGGGGGTTTTGGGGGGCAAAGGGGGCCATGAAGGGAGGGAGTGCAATGGCCATCATGGCGTGGCTTCGGGGGCAGCTTGGTTTTCGGGGCCTTCTTTCACACCCTCCATTTAACAGAAGGGGGTGAAGGGAGCTTGGCCGTCTTTCGCCTGGAATTTGGCATCAAAAAGCAGCGGGGTGTAGGGAGCCTGGCCTTCACCCTCCCGGAACAGGACGGAGTCTGATTCGGGATGTTGGAGGGCCAACTTCGGTTGGTGAGCTTCTTGCGGGTATGGCACTCTCGTTGCAACTCCGACTAAATGGCTCCCGCCGACAGGGCCTGCCGCACCTCTACATTGACCTGCTCTCACCAAAGAGCTCGCGCCGACATGGCCTGCTGAAGTAGCTCGCGCTGCAACACTGACCAAATAGCTCGCGCCAACGTGGCCTGCTGCAACTCTGACCAAGCTGCAACACTGACCAAATAGCCCGCGCCAAGGTTGCCTGCTGGTAACTCTGACCAAATAGCTTGTGCCAGCAGGTCTTGCTGATGATTCTGACCAAATAGCTTGCGACAGCATGGCTTGCTGCAACTCTGGCCAGCCCGCGCCACCTCGGACCAGATAGCTCGCACCAACGTGGGGCCTGCTGCAACTCTGACGAAAAAGCTCGAGCCGCAAATTTGACCAAGTTGCTCGCGCAGACAAGTCTGACCAAACAGCTCGCGCCAAACATGGCCTGCTTCAACTTTGGCCCGCGCCAACATGGCCTGCTGCAACCCTGACCAAAGAGCTCGCGCCATCGTGGCCTGCTGCCCAAAGGATGGGGTTCATGCGGACGTTCTGCCGCAAAGAGGCATCCAGGAAACAGGGTCCTAAGCCTGAAGTCCAACGTGCTAAAGAGAATTTGAAGCCCTCAACTTTAAACCCTTAACTCCTCAACCTGAAGCTTTTACCCTAAACCCTAAAACCTAAACCCTGAACCCTGAACCCTAAACCCTAAACCCTAATAAACCCCAAACCCCAAACCCCAAACCCTAAACCCTAAACCCTAAACCCTAAACCCTAAACCCTAAACCCTAAACCCTAAACCCTAAACCCTAAACCCTAAACCCTAAACCCTAAACCCTAAACTCTAAACCCTAAATCAGCAGCCTGGAGCTTTTGAAGCCCTAAGCCGTTCGCGGGGGCAGGTGTGGATCGAGTCTTCGCCCCCGCTGATGCACGTGGTGGGCCCCCTGCTGGCGAAGCCGGGCAGCTCAAGCCGCAATTGGCACAAAACACAGGGTTTAGGGTTTAGGGTTTAGGGTTTAGGGTTTAGGGTTTAGGGTTTGGGGGTTTAGGGTTGTGAAGCCCTTAACGCGAAACCCTACTCCGGGAACCCTAAACCCTGAAGCCTGAACCTTAAACCCAAACCCCCAAACCGAGCCTAAGAACCCCAAAGCCCTTCCCCCCAAGAAGACAGGAAGACTCCAATGCCCCCCACTTGGAGGTTCAGGGGTACTTTTAGATGTTAACCCCCAATTATAACTGTACTAATAAGCTCCCTGAGTGGCCCAAGTCCTGTGAGTACTCTATACTTACTTGGCCAATAGTTGAACTTTAAACTTTTTGGGTTTCCTTGTTTAGTAGGAATTATAAAGTTTAGCACCTTTTTTTTCCCTTGGTTATTGGGGAAGCAAGTATAAGTAGACTTAGGGTTGGGGGTTCTAAGTCGCCATCATTGCTCCAAGCAGGCCCCGCAGCCCGGGAAGCAGCTCGTGCCGGGCTCAGGTGGCAGGGCTTCGAAGCGTTGGGGGTTTTGGGTTTCAGGGTTCAGGGTGTAGGGTTTGAGGGTTGAAGGCTTGACGGCTTTAGGGTTTGGGTGTTGAGGTTGCAGGGTTTAGGTGAGGTTGTAGGGTTTGGGGTTTCAGGGCTTAGCGTTTGTTGTTTAGGGGGTTACTTCCTAGCTCCGTGTGCAATCCCTCCACATATTCCTCATCATCCCACCAATATAGCCAAACACGCCGACTGTACCTTTATTCACGGCATCCCCTGAAGTAGTGTGGCTAGAAGAGCCTTTTTCCCCGGACCTTTCTCGCCGCAGGATGCCTGCGAAATCGCGCAGCCTCACGAAGCCCAAAACGCTAAGCGGCCTGCAGAGCCTACCCGAAACCCTATAGTTTCCCCCAAAATGAAGCCCAGAAATCCTGCAAACGGTCACAAACCCGATAAACCCTGTAAACCCAATAACCAGCCTAAATCCCTTAAACTATAAACCCTACAAACCTTCTAAACCAACCCTGCACGCGCTGCAATACCTATAAACCCTGTGAATCCCACAAACCCTTCACTCTAACCGCTACAAACCCCTAAGCCCCCTAAACTCAAAGCTGCATCACGCCGCAAACCCTGACCCTTAAAACCTCGACTGCCAGAAGTTGAAGACTTTCAGGTCAGGAGATCGAACGAGCGCGGCCTGGAGCTAAGAACTGGCACTTACAGTGTTGGGGTCTTAGGGTTTAAACCCAAACCCTAAACCCTAAACCCTAAACCCTAAACCCTAAACCCTAAACCCTAAACCCTAAACCCTAAACCCTAAACCCTAAACCCTAAACCCTAAACCCTAAACCCCGCTAAACCCCGCTAAACCCCGCTAAACCCCGCTAAACCCCGCTAAACCCCGCTAAACCCCGCTAAACCCCGCTAAACCCTAAACCCTAAACCCTAAACCCTAAACCCTAAACCCTAAACCCTAAACCCTAAACCCTAAACCCTAAACCCTAAACCCTAAACCCTAAACCCTAACCCTTAAACCCTAAACCCTAAACCCTAAACCCTAAACCCTAAACCCTAAACCCTAAACCCTAAACCCTAAACCCTAAACCCTAAACCCTAAACCCTAAACCCTACACCCTACACCCTAAACCCTAAACCCAAAACCCTCAAACTTGAAACAAGGAAGCTGTTGCTTCGGGTTTAGGGTTTGGGGTCTTTAAGTGGGTTTGCGTAGGGCTTTCACGGTGCTCAACCAGCCCCCGAATGGGCCTGTAGTAGGGTTTAAGCAGGATTTGCACGTTGTTTATGGAGGGGTGTCGCGGGAAGTCGATGACGTGGTCTCGTGACCTTCTTGTAGCCCTGACTCCGATACAATTTCGTTAAGCTGTACTCTCTGTCCAATAACGACTAATTGAAAGAATGAGCATGCGAATTTTCAAGTTAAAGCTTGTTGAAAGTCGTTTTCCAAGTGAAATCTGGTCGTGAATGGAAGATAGGTCTTGTTTGTCGGTATGTGTCTTCATGATGTCCATGACGGCCGTCGTCGCTGCAGCACCCAACTTAGCAACTGTCCGAAGCGCTCGTCTTTCGTGGCCTCTTGATTTCTAACGCCCTTTGCCCCTGCAACCTCAAACTCGAAAACCCTATCACGAGCTTAGACTTAGACCCGAACTCCTAAACCCTAGCCCTTAGACCCGAACTCCTAAACCCTAACTCCTAAACCCGAAACCCCAAACCCTAAACACTCCACAGCCTGAGGCAGTCGGCTGAAGCAGCTCCTGCACCCTTCGCCGCAGGAAGTCAGGGGCCGAAAAACGAGGGTGGGGTGATAGGGTTTAGGGTTTAGGGATGTTTCGGGTGCAGGGTTTAGGGATGTTTAGGGCTCAGGGTTTGGGATTTTTTAGGTGGGATGCAGGAGGGTGGGCCGTTCCTGAAGCACTCAAGACGATGGGCGGTGAGGGGTTGAGGGTTTGGGCTTTAGGGGTTTCAGGGTTCGGCTGCCCAAGGGAACTGGATTTAGCCTCCCAAGCCCCCCGAAGTTCTCACTTCCCAAACGGAAGGCCCCCAACCCTCTTGCCTTCAAATTTCAGGCTTAACACCCTCAACCCTAAACCCTAGAACGCTTAATGAAGGTGGAAACTCCACGAAACTGTCTTCCCCCGCGCCTGAAACCTTAATGATTTCAATGAACCCTAAACCCTAAACCTTAAACCCGAAACCCTAAACCAGGATCCAAGGCTTAGGGCTTGGGACCTTGGGGGGGTTGCACCCTGAGGCGATGCGCCCGCAGGACCCTCTGCCGAGGCCCGTTGCAGGGGCCCTTTTAGGTTTAGGGTTCAGGGTTTGAGGGTTTGAGGGTTTGAGGGTTTGAGGGTTTGAGGGTTTGAGGGTTCGAGGGTTCGAGGGTTGAGGGTTTCGGGTTTAGACCTAGACCCTATACCCACATATTCATACAGAACGTGGAGCTATGGCAAAGGTACCTGATTGCCCACCAAGAAAGAGCTAGTGAGCTGAAGCGCCACTTAAACGAAACTACGCTTATCTCAGTATCAACCTGTAAGGTCTCGAGTTTTTCAAGGGCTGTAGTATTGGGGTCGAAGGGCTTGGGGGTCTTCGGCGTCTGCAATCCAGGAAGTCACCTGGAGCTTCATGTGTGAGGGGGTACCTTTTCGGGGGGACACAAAGAATTAAAGAATCTTGGCGTTTTTTTGGAGGCACCCATAGGTTGCGAAAGGCCCATGTGCTGACAGAGCGCGTGGGTTGTACTTTGGAGGGCTTCGGGCTTGCAAGGGCCTTGCCGAGGGTGGCTCCTGAAACGATGAGAGCCGTGCCTGCATTTGCGAACTCTCCCGTAGTACTTCGGTACTTCTTAGTGCCTGGGCCTTACATGGGTCCGTTTCGGCATGAGAAGCAAAAAGGGCTGTTGGTGGGGGGCCGTACTCTATTGGAGGGAGGATCCATTGTGAGTGCGACATCATGTGCCTTTGAAAAGGGTTGGTCTGGCCACTTTGGACCTGTCGCATTGAGGCGTCGAAGAGCAAGAAGAAGAAAGTCAAGAAGGCACCGCGTTTTGCAGTCCCCCCGCGGCTCAAGGGCTTGGGACCCAGAGCGGATAATGTCGGGGCCTTAATAATTAGAATGGGGTTTTGGAGGTCATTATAGTAGAATGATAAAGGGACCATCAGGGATTTCTATTCCGACCCCTGTATTAGGTTTGTGGTTGTGGGCACGTCCTGAAATTTCCATGGCTAGGCCGGCGAAAGTACGGCAGCACCCGCCTACGACTTGTACAACGAGGCCGGGCACCTTCATGCCATGTGCGCTACACACTCAACTGGAGGTTGACGAGAATAAGGGACCCCAATTCTAGACCCTCCAAGAATCCCTTATAAAACGGACCCCAATCATGTACCCCCAATATCGTAAAGGCCCACGAAAGTTTTGGGTCAAGCAAGATGCCTTTGCTGAATGGCGTGGGTGCAGACGCTTGCGGCAACAGAGCGTCACTCAGGTGGAGTGGCTCTCTTCAAGTAAAGGGATTCCCTGTCTCATACTTTGGGATGTTCCCCCTTATACTAACAGTCCTTCATAGGGATTATAATAGGGAGATCTGGAACCCCCAATAAGGGTTGGTAGTATAAGGGAAAACATCCCTCTCTCGTACTTTTGTTGCTGAAGAATGCACACCTTATCCGCTTCACCCCAAGCCCATGGGCACAGGCCATCCCGATGGACGTCTTCATGAACTGCGAGGAGAGGGTCCAATGCTTTTGGGCTTGAGGGTTCTAAGGGGGGGTGGTTTAGGGTTTAGGGTTTAGGGTTTAGGGTTTAGGGTTTAAGGTTTAGGGTTTAGGGTTGAGGGTTTCATGGTGGTCATGGCAAGGAGGGTGTGATCACCGTTTGCGTGCTCGGGCCTGGTGCAGGATCACACACAGCGCACAGCTGACGGTGTACCCGCCGCTTCCTGAGCTTCCTCTCTGGGCAGCCCTCCTACAGAACTGCCCGAAGACCCCGAAAGTGCTGAAACGCTAACAAGAATTGAGCCCCCCCCCTGCCCCTCCACCCTGAAACCCTAAACCCCCCCCCCAAGACCGCCAAGCACCTGCAACCCTAAAGCCTAGACCCTGAAACTTAAAACCCTAAACCCTACAGTAAACCCTAAACATTAAACATTCAACATTAAACATTAAACATTAAACCCTAAACATTAAACCCTAAACCCTAAACCCTGAAGCCCTAAACCTTTAGCCAAGGTCCTGGATCTCCTTGACTCGGACGAGGAGGCAGTTCATGACCTTGGGGAGGAGGTGTCGTTGAAGGAGCCCAATGCCCCCTTGCATTCCTCTTCAGACACCTACATGGACGAGCATTTTGGGCGCTCTCCGGGTCGCTCAAAGGGCGTTCCCCAACTCCATCCCGTAAGTCCTCCAATAAACCCCTAGGCCCTAAACCCTAAACCCTAAACCCTAAACCCTAAACCCTAAACCCCAAACCCTGAGCCCTAAACCCTAAACTCCTTCCCCCAGAGAAGCGCGGCATCTGCCACAGGCTCCGCCGGCGCTCACA